AAAAAAACAACAACAACAACAACAAACAAAAACACACCAAAAAAAAACACACACACACCAAAAAAACCCCCAAAACAAAACAAAACAAAAAAACAACAACAAAACAAAACAAAACACAGACAAAAATAATAGACGTTTGATAGGGAAAAAAGGAGCAAACCACATCAAAGCACCCTCCTACCACGTCATACACAGACATGAGTACTAACATACCTATTGAGCATTTCTCTCATGGTGGAGGACATGGCGCTCTGGTTCTGGGAGGACATGCCCACCTGGGGAAGCAAGAAAGAGGACAGTGTGTAAGCTCACTTGATCGGTGCACCCAGTATGTCTGGAACTATATTTTCTCGTGGATTAACATACAGGAAGTGTGTTAATCAGTACCGCTTTTCAATGTTGCAACTCGATAATCATATTTTCTGTTGACAATCAATACGCCCAGTGAGACAGGATAAGAGCGAGATATTACTCAATCTGATGTTACTAGTTGGAGTTGTATGCACGGGAGAGTATGGACATTTCTTTGTTTTTTTGTTTTTTTTTCATTTCAGTTATACTAAAACTAATAAATGGAGGACACACTGTTTGACTGAGGTCTTTTGTGATTGAGATGTTGTTGTTGTTGTTGTTGTTGTTGTTGTTGTTGTTGTTGTTGTTGTTGTTGTTGTTGTTGTTGTTAAAAGGATGATGATGATGACAATGATGATATTGTTGTTGTTGTTGTTCTTGTTGTTAGTGTTGTTGCAGTTGCTATTCTTGTAGAAGGTATGGGGATGATGATGATGATGGTCTTGTTGTTGTTGACGAACTATTGTGAGGTCAATGGAACAAAATAATGTATTAGGATGCAGCTGAATTCGTTTCATTGGAGCATTGTTGTTGCTGATGTTTTTGCTGTTATCGTAGATGTTTTAAAATTTTTTAAAATATATATGTTGTGTTATTATGACTTTCGTTGTTCTTATCATTATTGCAAATTATCTGTACATGTGGCAGCACATTGTTGTAGTATTCACTGTTGTGGTAGTACTACAATAGTAATTGATGAGGTAAGATCGTGGAAGTGACACTTGTCCCTTTCTGTTGATCTTAATTAGTATGCCGTTGCAGCAGTATCTGTAGTTATTTTTAATGGATGGATGCGTTGTTAGTAAGCGGCTGGAGTTATTCTTTCTTCTGGGATGGTTTGTATTTGTACAGGGAATTTTTTTGGTAGGAGCGTTGGGTATGTCCTAGGCTTATATTGTGGTGGGGACTGTAAAGAATTAGAAGACACTGACCAACAGCTTTCTTTCCATGGTTATCCATTTTTATTACGCTGAAAAAGCTTACGTCATTAAAATGATGATGATGATGATGATGATGATGATGATGATGATGATGATGATGATGATGATGATGATGGTGGTGGTGGTGGTGGTGGTGGTGGTGGTGGTAATGGCGATGGTGGTGGCGGAGATGTTTAGTGGTGAGGGTGGGGGCGAATGGAGGCAGGGAAATAGGTTGGAGACTGTTGTGTCACGAGAAATGAAAAGTCGGACCAATAGAAGGACTGCGCAGCTTAGTGGAAGAAACTCGTAATCGACATTTTGAACATAAATATCTTTTCAATTTCAACGGCCACCTCTCCTTTTCCTTCTTTATACCCGTTTAGTAATGCAAAATCCAAGTAAAACGGTATTTGTTATTTTAGCTTTTCTAAGAAAACACAATTTTGTGATCTCAATTTTATTGTAAGTGGTCTGTCGGCACTTTAAAAAATAATGAAATGGCATAGGTTTAACGTCCCTTTCAACAATATTAGCTTGTTTAAGAAGCAGGCCCTCCGAGTTTAAAGTCCATCTCCGGAAGTACGGAGCCAAATGGGAAATTCGTGTAAAATGTCTTTCCCAAGAGGACCAATAAGATGCTTCAATATAAAGAGACCATTAACTCAAAATGTGAAAAAAGAGAACAGAGTAAGAAAATGATATCGTGTATACACGAGGAACTCAACACCAGCCAACAAATTTATAACCTAACAAGGACAAGCTGCAGGTAGAAAAGAAATAAAACCACGACAAAAGTATATAGCTATACATGTGTTTCTACTTGTACCAGGTATCAAACAGCTTACAATTTACATATGATTTACATAAGAAAGGAGACAGTACGACATTTTTATTTCACCAGTTCTCATAAAAAACGAAAGGCGACGTACATAGCATTGTATGTTGTTATGACATGGTATTCCCAGTAGCGTTTGCCTGGACGCTGTCCTGCGATGTTATGAGGTCAAGACAGAAATAGGTCATTGACCCCGCAAGGTCAGGAGTCAACCAAAGCATGTTAGGTATACGACGATAATAATGGTTAGCATCTATAGTGACGTGTCGTTGAGTAGGATCTTGAAAATTTTTAGAATGGATACAAACACAAGGGATGGCGAGGTGGTGTGCATTTAGTAACATTACAATAGAAATATTGGGTGTCCGTATTACATGTGTATTCTGAGCGTTTGTGCGTATGAGTGTTGGTTTACATATTATGTTAACCTAAATAGGTGACTGTGTATTTATGCGTGAATGAATGTCACACGGGTCTGCAATCTTATCAATATTGAAATAATCTCTCTCCCCC